AAACCTGCACTTAAGCACTTAATACATTATCAGGTGTTCAAACAAAAGAAAAAAAAAACGAAATCAAGTGTGCTGTGAAATAAACAAGATCTATGTTCATTAAATGGACAATTTATAACAGGCACAGCACACTCCATTTTTTTAAAGCGCATGTTATTTTTATCCTGTGCAAGTAGTTGATACAAGCGAACCTAAGTGTCAATGGAGTTGACCATGGTAGTTGAGAACGGAAGATAAAAATGACACAATTGTTTTTGTGGGATTTGAAGAATTTCAAATTTGAAATTCAAACTCAGCATGAATGTTAGTGTTTTTTAAAAGGTGAACTTGTTTGAACGGAACCGTATTCATTTTTGTGCTGAAGTGGCCCAACAAAAAAACGGTAAAAAGGCGAATTTTAACTTTTAACAAAGGTACCTTGAAAATCGGGTAGATTTGATTAAACAATGTGGTCTGAAGTTCTGAACAATCAAGTTAGGTTTTCTTAATCGTCAGCTAGTGTTAACACAATTTAACAATCATGATTATTTAAATAAACCACTTGCTAGAAGATTTCATGAAATTCACTTGGTCAGAATAATAATTCTTTGTTTAACAAATTACGAATAGGTTTCTGAATGCATATATGTAAGTGTTCCCCAGTAGCAAGCAATATTTTTCTAATATTTATATAAGATTGATATAATATTAAATGTTGATTAGATATTACAAATATTTATATAATATTCATTTTATATTTATAAATTTATATATGAATTTCAACATATATTACATATTTATGAAATGTCTTTTTATCAAGATACCGAAAAACAAAAATGAAAAAAAAAGTACCATGTTGGGACAACTTGTAGGTAATTTATGTCATAGGGTTTTTATCGGAGCAATATTAAAAATTTATTTGAAAAAATACCACCTATTGTGAAATTGACACTATTCGAAATATCGTGTTGCACACTATTAATTGCTCATTAAAAAGTAATATTTTTTTTATTTTTGCGAACAAAAAATAATAATTTTATTCATCATTTTTGTAAAACTTACTTAAATTTGCGCTTGCTCTGCTGGAACGCGTTTGCGCAATGTGCAACATATACATATTTTCTGTTGTTGTTGGTGGTTCAAAAAGTATTTTCTGTAAGTTCATGGTGTTTGTTCTATTGTGAATTGTGATTATCGGTACTGTGATAAATTCAGAATAGTGTAGTAAATACCGTTTTGTCAAGAAAACAGTACTAATTCTACATAACCTCACTTCTACAAGCAATGCAGAAAATGCAATTTCTCAACACGTAAGTATATTTAAGAGGTTTAATATTCCTGAATATAAGCACATTATGAATGTAGAAACAAAATGATGAATGTCCGGGCGCAACCAAAAAAAAGAAGAAATCCAGTTAGAAATTGCGGGAGATACGCAGAAATTGAATGAATTGGTAAGCATTTATTATTCTTATTATTAACTCCTAGTATTTATATACTAGTTAGTTTCAGACTGATAATAATGTTTATTTTTCAGGAAGAGAAGATGTAAAAAAACATGTAGGTACCTATGCAATTTTGAAGAAATTATTAATAATGAACCAAATTGCTTTCAAGTTTTCAGGGCAAGGAAAAAATAAGCTCTCTTTTAGTGAACTCACAATTAACAAGGCTACAATATGTAAAGTTATGTGATTTTTTAAAAATTACGAAATTTGTAAGTTAATTTAATTGTAGGTACCACACGGAAACGTCACAAAAACGCCACAACTGCTGAAATTTAAAAAATGGTAGGACCTCATTAAGCGCAGACAAAAGCAAGAGTGAATTCTCATCGAAAAAAACATGAGGTATGATTTTTTTTATTTTAATTAATTATATCGCTTTTCAATGAATCGGTTATAGAGCAAATAATTATTAAATAAATATTTCTGTATAACGATTGAAATGTAGCAGAACATTGTTATTTCCATTGACAATGTATTTTTATTTCATTGTAAGTTGGCAGTGTATTTTTATGTTTAAAAAATTTATATTGTGTTTCACATCAGGTGATTTTTTAAATTTCTGCCCATGAAGCTTATGCCAGCAGTTTCAGTTTCACTGCTGACATAAGCAGTGAAACTGAAAAAAAAAGCAGAAATTAAAAAAAAATCACCCGGTACAAATTTTCAACGAATTGGTTCTAGGACAAATGATTTTTAAATGTATAAATATTGCCGCAACGTTTCAAATACACTGTTATTTCCAGTGACAATGTATTTTTGTATTTAATAAATATTATATTGTATTCCATACAAGTTTTTTTATATATCCATACCCCTTTCATATGAAGAACATTTATTAAATGTTCTGAACTAAATAAGTATTAAACATTGAAAATAAATATATATTCAATATTTAAAACCTATATTGATTTTTTAAAAAAAAATCTGTCGTTACCCATATTATTTAAATGTTAGAACTTCAATATTGATTACATATAAAATGTTACTGGGGTTACATTATAACACTTCTTAATTCTTCCCACAAGATTACTAATAGTTAAATCAACAAAAAATAACGCGAACCGGCGAGGGGTTAAAATAATTTCTTCCCGTAGGCGGTTAACATCGTTGTCATGACTACATCATCGAGGCTTGTCCTCACAACGCTAAAGATTGATTACTTCATCGAGGCATGTCCTCGCAACGTTAAAGATTGATTACATCACTGAGGCATGCCCTCGCTACGCTAAAAATTGATTATATCACCGAGACGGTTTTTCCTCACAACGTTAAAAATGTACATCATCGAGGCATTTCCTCGCAACGTTATCAATTCACATCATCAAAGCATTTCCTAGCAACGATAAAAATTTCGTCACCGAGACGCTTTTTCCTCGCAGCGATGATTGGATATTTTTGTGTTTGTTTATTATGTACTCGTATTTTGTATTTGTTGGGGTAACCAGTTCGCGGTATTCTAAACTCTCAAAGTAAATTGCTTTTTTTATGTAACCAATCACTTAGGTCATGATGTAATTTGACATAATGTAAACTCTTTGTTTGAATCGTTGATAAAGTGTGGCAAATATTAATCTCATGTAAATTTTGTTAACTTTGCAAGTTTTCACTGCATACAATATTTTTCTATCTCACAGTTTTAACTTCAGTAATTTTTCTTTGTTGTATAATTTTAATTGAACGTAAATTTCATGCTCTACAGTTTTAACCTCACATAATATTTTTATTTGCACGAGTTTATTTCACACCAGATCTTTTGTTTTATAAATCTTTGGACGTTTTGGTTTGTAAATATTTTGTTGATGAATGTTTCCATCGTATAAATTATTTTAATCTCACATAAGAATTATTTGTTGTTTAAAATTTCACAAGATTATATGGCGAATTTAAATGTTGTTTATTGCCCTTTGAAACTTTGACACTTGTTCAGTTGTTGTTAATACCAGAGTCATAAGAAATTGAACATTTAAAATGGAATTGAGGTTAAATAACACAGACAACGTGGCAGAAGCGAAGTGCGGTTCCTAGTCGAGCTGGCGAGATCTATAGCGTCACCTGCGCCCGTAACGGCCTAGTTTCGGACGGCATGTTCGTCATGCAGGTGTGTAATGTGCTGTGTGGGTAGCCTTTGCGATACATAGAATCACCGTCGAGGGGGGGAACAGCCCCGATCGGTAGCCCCAAACCCCGCTTGTGCTAGAACGCCTCAGGGGTACTTTTGTTACATTATTATTATTATTATTATTAAGTACAAATCCACCAAAGCCGAAGCCTATAATGCTCTCCAAACAGAATTTGTAGGAAATAGAATAAGAGTACTTAAGTAACAAGTAATAAATAAGTTATAAAATGAAGTGCACAAACAGAAAATTAAAATTATTAAGTTAGAAAATAAAAATTACAACCAGATGCGCTATCAGTACCGATATTATACCTAACTAGGTTACACAAAGTTAACGTTCTGAATCAATGCAAATATTTAAATATCACAAATATGACAAAAACAAAGCAAAATCTGAAGTCAAGTAACTAGATGCAAATACACAAGTTATTACGAGCGTGTGGCGACAAATTTAAAATTTTGGCAGTCAATACAAGAACAAAATTTTAATAAAAAAATTATGCAGCGGAACCAGAGCGTTATAAGAGTCTGGCGATCGAACTGTTTCAATTTCCTTCTAGAGCACAGCAGAATTGCTTATAGGGGGCATTGTAGTACGATCGGAGTTTGGGGCTCCCGGTCGTGGCTGTCCTTCCACCCCGACGCTGATTCTATTCTATTCTATAATTACAACAAAGAATTCTTATCCGAAATTAAGACTGGATATCAGACAATTATATGATGGAATCAACAAAATATTTACAGAACAAAAAACTAGCAAAGATTTATTAAAACAAAAAAAAATCTGGTGTGAAATAAAACCTGTGCAGATAAAAGTTACGTGAGATTAGGAGCTGCAGAGCATTGAAAGTTTACGTTCAATTTAAATTATACAACAAAGAAAATTACTGAAGTTAAAATTATGAGATACTCTCAACATGGCTGCTACTAGAACAAAGAAGTTACCTGATGTTAAATTATGCCACACTTTATCAACGATTGAAATAAAGAATTTAAATTATGTTAAATTGTATTGTAATGTCTGTTAAATTGTGTTAGAACCAGTTAACGATTAAAATCCTAACATGAACTGTGAATATTTTTTGAGTGAATTTTTATTAGGATACTTCTTCAGCTTATGGTTGGGAAATAAAATAAATGGTGATGCAATTTGTTTCTTTTTTGAAAACATAATACATACGGACACAAAGAAATTATTAATTACTAAAGCGCCTGAAAGCCGACTAAAATTAAGCACGGCCGTGTTTAATTTACAACGTTCTATCCATAATGCAGTGTTTTAACAAAGCATGAAAGACACACCCGACAGGTACACATTGTATAGACAAGACACCAGCGAGGATTTGATATTTAGTTGTCATGGATACCAGAGTGAATACAAAAATGACCTGCAGTAAACTCGTATTTATCGTTTCGCGTGCAACACATCAGTTTTAATAGTAGTCCGAAGAAGACTATAATCGTACAATGGAAGACGACAATTCTTGGGTTTTCGATTCTTTGGTAGCTTTTCTAAACGGGCCGATCTGGAGTGCTCCGCTTGATAGTTTTATCGAAGAGAAGTCGCTAAGTACTAGCTTTTATGTCGTAACGATTGTAATAACTTTGTGATATAAAATGTTGTAGTCTTTGAGCCGAATGTCACTGAAAATGCTGAATACAGGAATATATTTGACGAGTTCAAGAATTTGGTAAGTATTTGTAAATTTTATTTTGGTAAGTTAACGTTCCAACAGGTTGATTTCATGTTGGGAAACTTCATGGAAGATATCGGAATCACACCTGAGCAATTTGAAGAAGCGTGCAATAAAGGCCACACGTATCCAATCAATTTCAATCATGTAAATATTTGATTTAGCTCGATTATCATTTATTGCTTAAATGTTTCGATTGAAGAACATTTTCGAGCAAATATGGGCGGCGAACGATTACGAAATGTTCAAAAGAATGATGACACAAAGGAATGTTGAATTGCAATTACAGGCTTTGGAATTAATCGAACAGAAGTATGGAATTACGCCACAGTCGTTCGTTCCAAAGAAAAAAGAGAAAGTCGATACTGCGGTTACTGTGGAGAAAACTTCCACGTTTGAAAAGGAAATAATGGAAGAAGTTGCTAAGTTCGCTACAGGATGTAAGAATTTCTTACTTTATTAATCAACACATTTTAGAAATTTTCCAAAAGAAGAAGCGTCTTCAGAGGAAGGTGAGGTGCAGTATCTTTTGGAAGAAAAGGAAATTCTTGAAAAGACTCTCAAGGAAACTAAAGGTTCATTGGAAATAAGATTCGTTTTCTCTATTTACTATTTTTTTTTTTTTTAGAGAAAAGTACCACATCAACGGAAGACAGTCCAAGTGAAGACATTCAGCAGAAGAAACCTTCAGTCGTGAAAGCAGAAACTACTGCAGAAATAAATTATGAGAAAAAACCTGCTCGCAACGAGGTATATACTTCGTGAATTATTTTCAGTTTTATGTGGTAATCTAAATTTTGTTTGAGTTGTTCCTTTTCTTATTTCGACACAGTAGTTGTTAATTTTTGTTTAGATAAACGCAGCGGAACTTATGAAACGTCAAGAATATTTGCGCGCGCAGCGAGATAAATTGGTAGCTTTAAAAAAAGAGGCTCGAAAGAAGCACCTTGGTTCGAACGGTGCATCAAAAGAAAAAGGAAAAGTTCGTCCCAAATCGGCGAAGGCCGCAGAAGCAGTGTTATCTGGAGAAAAAGCGACGATTGAACCTCAGCAGCTTCAGATTCGCAAAGCTTTGGCAGAGAGGTTAAAGACGGAGGTTGTGTCCAATAAAATGTAATAATTTTTCACTTATATTTATTACCTAAATATAACGAGTACATTTTTACATTTTCTTTTAAAAACATTAATTTATTACAAATTAAAATGAGAAATAGAAAATGGCTTTCGTTTTTAAAAACTTATCAACGGCTTGTATAAAAAATATCATAAGGCTGCCATTTTGGGTAATAAATAGGGGAAGTTGACTAAAAGTTGCACCTTCCTGTAAGTGTGTGTAACTTTTAGTTGTGGGTTTGTTTAATTTATATATTCGCTCGTCTCTTGTACGTACGACTTTTGGATGTTCTTAAAACTAACGCTTAATCTATTTGTTACATGAGATAATTTGTTTGTTATCTAAAGTAGTTGAGCGAACATATGAAATCAAATTATACTTATATACAGAAATATATGACATATCCACATTATGAAAAGTTTTGTATTTCAAACCATTTTCTATATGCAATACTGGTCAATAAATTAAATTAGTTTAATAAACCATTAAGTAATGTAGATTGTTAAGAAAAATGGACAAAATAAAATCTTTTAAATAGGAATAAACATAATTTATTCATCACAATAATTACAAAATTAAATTTAAGAATAAAATAATGATTTAGTCTAATTTTTACACTTCATACTGCCACATTTCTATGGAATCGATAGTGACAACTTATTTCAATGTTTTAAACACCAACTCATAAAAAAACAACTAAAATTTAAACTTTTCATTAAATAAACATTATTTCTCAGCGTCAAACTCAAAAAAAAATATTAACCTATTATTTAGATGTATCACAATTTAAAAAATAGCGAACCTGACGACATAACAGTACGAAGTTATTATACAATCTAAGCACTCCAATGACACTACACGCACTTTTTAGACGATATATTCGATACTATATGCTATCTACTGTCTAGATATAATAACTTAGTCTACAATTAAATTCACATCGGTTTCTAAAACTTTTACAATAACATTATGAATACCATCATAACCAATATTTATCTTTGATTGTGTATTAGAAACGTCATTTAGTTCTAATTTGCTACACAGTTTCCAAGCCGAAAAATGCATCGTAAGTTAGAAGTAAACTCACGGCCAACGTTTATAACGTACGAACCAAAGATAAAAAGACTCATTTCGCCCCTTAAAATTTTCAAATTTTGACATAAAACTTGACGAAATTATTTACAACATCTTCCATAAAAATATAACTTTTTTCCCAAGAAACAGGAAACATTTTTCATAAATAACTAGACTTTTTTTAGAAAAATCCTAATTCATCATGTACATGGAATTGATTACCTTTAAAAACTTGATGACTCGTAAATTGTACAATATAACTGAGGAATTTTATACAAAAGGAAGTTAAAAAAGTTGTGCTTTTAACAGCCGCCGGGCTGTGGTAGACATCTTTGTGTCGAGATACCGGAACAGTTCATTCTTCGCGAGAACAAACCACTCCGACTGTTTTGATATAGTTTCGTTTCTTTCACAACTTGGATTTCTGAATTATATTGAGAAACACAGCACCGGTTTAAATAATTGACCGTTCATACCTCCATACACATCACTATGAGATCACACTTGGTCGCACGTCACGCCAGTTTGTGTCGCACTCACCTGCAGTTTGATTGCTCGACTATGATATTCGCGGCCTTTTATTTACATCACCGTTTTCTGCATCTTCCTCATCCGAATCGCCACCCTCGTAATCGACCAACCCCTAAAAAACGCAAAAACGTACGCATTAGAAACAATCTTCCCGACAACATACACTTATTTTAAAATTTTTATAATGTTTAACAGCGTCTTAATATTTGAATTTATATCAGAAACATTTTTTTAAAGAGGGGGTGGGGGGTGGGCTTAATATATTATAGAAACGCATGTGGAGATCTCCTAGTATGCTGTTTGCTACGCCCCATAGAACGAACTGATTGAGAATTAAAGATGAGACGCTAAATGTGGCATGCGACAATAGTCGTATGTAGAACCCCCTTCATATAAAAACAATGTTTAAGTGAAATTTTAGTGTTTGTTCCTTACATATGAAATAAACTGAAAGTATCTGGCATATTTTTTAACCTTTAGTTTAATAAAACATAACGTAGCGAAAAAAGTTCAGGGAATTTTTATTGTTCTGCATCGAATACCAACAAACTCACTAGATTTTCATGGCCAACCCTACTATATAAATATCGTGAACGGATAATACATATCATTTTTTCTGTATAGTGTCAATTTGAACACATTCATTTTCTTCTTATCAAAACAATGTAATTGTTTCAAGGCGGGGGTTATGTTACCGCTTTTGGTACTCGTAAGAGTCCCAAATAACTTCCCTTTGAATATAGGGTAGTTATGAGTATTCATTATTCACTCAACATTCATTTTGTGGTCATACACATTCCACATATTCCATTATTCACCTTTTCTCACTTATCAATAAACATATATCTACTGTTCGCTATTCCTTATGCATGTCTACAAATTCAACAACATCGATGAGGAATATCTAGAATGTGCGAACAAACGCGTTTATAAGATAAAGCGGAGTTTCTCACTAGATTCAATAATCCAGTGGTGGAACACCAGCCACTTACATTTTGCCTTTTTGTTTTAATATGTGTAAGGAAATACCTATTTTGCAATTAAGTTCCGTTCCATAATTGCAAAATGCATATTTCCCTGTAAAAATGTACCATTTTAACCACTTTTTAAGTTTCTTGTTGTGGAAAGGTGGCTAGGTATATTAAGAAAACAAAAGACAAAATAGAAGCCCCACCCACCCACCCTATCGCAATTCTGATGATTTCTTTTATTCGTCGTAAGCCGAGGGGCGGAGCTTAATTGCAAAATTTCTTGTAGAGAAATAAAAAACATGCTTTTGAGTATCGTGTCGTTCAAAGAATATTATGTATATTACGAAAAAATTAAAGCCAAAGATTAAGCCCCACCCATCCTTGCGCAGATCTAAATATGTAGTAATGAAGTTTTCAGTCGTTGCTAGACATAGGGGCGCAGCCTAATTGCAAAATCCATACTTCCCTATAAAAATTTACCATTTGAAACGTGTTTAAGTGTGTACGAAGAAAAAAAATCATCACAACTGAGATAGGGTGGGTGGGCGGGGTTTATATTTTGCCTTTTTTTTCTCAAAATACCTAGTATTCCTTGAACACAATACTCAAAATCATGTTTTTAATTTCTTGTAAAGAAATAAATATTTTGCAGTTACCTAAGCTTCGTCCCCTTGATTCACCGCGAATAAAAAAATCATCACAATTGAGGTACGGTGGGTGGGCGGGCTTATATTTTGCCTTCTTGTTCTAATATGTATAAACTTCTTTTCATAACATGAAATTTAAAACATCTTTAAAAAGGAAAATTTGTATAACGAAATACCTATTGTGCAATTAGGCTTCGTCCCATAATTACAAAATCCATATTTCCCTGTAAAAATGTATCATTTTAACCATGTTTTAAGTTTCTTGTTGTGAAAAGATGGCTAGGTATATTAAGAAAACAAAAGACAAAATATAAGCCCCACCCACCCGCCCTATCCCAATTCTGACGATCTCTTTTATTCCTCGTAAGCCGAGGGGCGGAGCTTAATTGCAAACTCCTTATTTCTCTACAAGAAATAAAAAACATCTTTTTGAGTATCGTGTTGTTCAAAGAATACTATTAAGAAAAAATTAAAGCCAAATATTAAGCCCCACCCACCCCTGCCCTGATCTAAACAGTAATGAAATTTTCATTTGTTGGAAGATCTAGGGGCGAAGCCTAATTGCAAAATACATATTTCCTTAAAAAGTTTACTATTTTAAACTTGTTTTGAGTTTATAAGAATAAAAAAAGTCATTACAATTGAGATAGGGTGAGTGCGCGGGGTTTATATTTTTCCTTTTTTTTTTCTCAATATACCTAGTATTCTTTGAACACAATACTCAAAATCTTGTTTTTAATTTCTTGTAAAGAAATAAATATTTTGCAGTTACCTAAGCTTCGTCCCCTTGATTCACCGCGAATAAAAAAATCATCACAATTAAGGTAGGGCGGGTGGGCGGGCTTATATTTTGCCTTCTTGTTCTAATATGTATAAACTTCTTTTCGTAACATGAAATTTAAAACATCTTTAAAAAGGAAAATTTGTATAAGGAAATATCGACTCTGCAATTGGGCTCCGCCCCATAATTGCAAAATCCATATTTCCCTGTAAATATGTACCATTTTAACCTTGTTTTAAGTTTCTTGTTATGAAAAGGTGGCTAGGTATATTAAGAAAAGAAAAGACAAAATAGAAGCCCCACCCACCCACCCTATCGCAATTCAGATGATCTCTTTCATTCGTCGTAAGCCGAGGGGCGGAGCTTAACTGCAAACTCCTTATTTCTCTACGAGAAATAAAAAACATTTTCTTTTAGTATCGTGAGGGTCAAGAATACTAGGTATATTAAGAAAAAATTAAAGCCAAAGATTAAGGCCCACCCATACTTGCCCAGATCTAAATATGTAGTAATGAAGGTTTTTATTCCTTGCCAGACATAGGGGCGGAGCCTAATCGCAAAATCCATACTTCCCTACAAAAATTTACCATTTGAAACGTGTTTAAGTGTGTACGAATAAAAAAAATCATCACAATTGAGATAGGGTGGGTGGGCGGGGTTTATATTTAGCGTTTTTTTCTTAATATATGCATACATATAGTGTTTTTTGAATAACGCGATACTCAAAAATTTGAAAATAGTAAAAATGAATGTACTGAAATATCGCAAAAGTTTTAAAAATTATGACGTCATCTTAGAATTCTGCCGAACAAATGTTCTTTAAATTTTATAAAACAACATATTCCTGCATGTGTGATTTATGAATCCGTGTTGAGCTTTTACCCTTGGCAACCAAATTTTTGAAAAAAAAATCAATATTTAAGAATATTTTACAATTAACCTTGAAATTGTAAAAACCGAATGCTGTGAAATCGTGCAAATATTTTAAGATTATTTAAAACATAAACAGTCGAAGTTAAGCATATAGTGACAAATTTAATTGTTAAACAATTATTAAACAAAGCTCTTTTGACAATTCGGCAACCCAACAAACAGTGGCGCCCCAGTTGCGGCGAAAAAGTGAAATATCGAGTTAGGGATAAAAACAACCGTGTGGCGTTGATTGTGCAACGTCCTGAAGCCGGTGTTAGCAGTTTTTGTGATTTTAGTCTAGTCACAAATTGCTTGAAAAACCGTGAACAACGTGAACGACTAAACGGAAATATGAAACTGTATCCCTCACTCACCGGCCATGTTGGATTTCCGCAGCGCCACCTACATTCAATTATCGAACTTTGGATAATGAAGATATGAATACTATCGTAAATGTAAGAATCTTATTGACCACTTGGTGCGTTATAATAAATACTATATAACGATAATTCACATTTATCATAAACGTGATTTATAAATTCTTATTTTGAATATAATAATTGGATTAGAAGGTGGTAACTCTACTTTATCTCGAATAATTAAGAGAATGGGATTTCATTGGAAAAAGACTGAAGACAAACGGAAAATTCCTACCTAGGGTTGCCATCCTATCACGTAGAACTTAATCCAACAGAAAAAATATGGGCTCTGGCTAAAAATTTGGTGACATCCAGAAATGTAAATTGCAAGACGTGAAGGAGTTTGTCAAACAAAGAGTTGATAACATTACAGCTGTGGGTTGGGGGAAAATTTTTTGATGCACAAGTGACGAATTTATGTTCAATGTGAATACTGGTGACTCAGCTAGTAAGGGCGGATGAAGACGAGAATCCTGGGGACCACGACATTTTTCCAATAGATTGACATAAACACGATTCCACTTGGGGTCTTTCTTTGCACGTTTATAATTGAATTGTGTAATTATAAAATTCCCAATTTTTTCTATGAAACAATATAAAACAAATATACTGAAATTATTGTGGCTTCCACAAATGTGAATGTTTTGTTTTCAATTTTTGAAACACTATTATGTTTGTCTTTAGTAAATTTTACCAAAAGCACACACTTTGCTGTTGAACTTTCTTTGTCGTAAGTTGCTATAAAGGCAAGTTTTTATTAAATTCAAATTTAAAAAGTTTTATAGAAAAAAAAGTGTGGCTTCGTGAATAAAGAGATTCTATTTACTCCCTGAAATTAGGTCATTCCACTAAAACTTGCTTACTGTAACAACGTCTCTTTCCATATATGGATGGTTTTCTTGAATGAATAAATTTTTTCAGGCATTTCAATTCGTAAAAAAAAGGTGATTAATATCAGTTAACCAAAGGACCGGAAATCATTACACAACAAACGTTCACATTTGACCACTTTGGAAATGAATTATTAATTGTCAAATTGGTTGAAGAAACAATACTCTAGTTTACAAAAATTATTTTCTTAACCTTACTTCTCAGTTTCATTTGACGCTGATGATTGCGTTTCGCCGATAAGTTGCATGATTAGTAGAGAGCGGATTTCTAGGTTTAATGCTTTTTGTGAAAAATGTAAGCACTTAAAAACTTTTTTATATCACTAACTATGATACAATTTGGAGTCATTTGACACATTTTTTTAATGCTTATTTGCTTTTTTCGACGAATTCGAGTTTTAATGCATATTTTGTTCAAATGCCGGCCTTGTCGGGATGATAAATACTTGTTAGTTAGCCGTATCGTATCGTATGCATTTTACCTGGACTTGACCATTGAAGTACACTTACTCAAGACCCTTTCTGTGAATAGGTTCCGGTTGTTTGGGTAATAAAATTTTATTATAGGATTGAAAAAATACTCCATAGATTTTATGACTTTAAATCCTTACTTCCGTTGATAATGAATTAAAGCTTTTAACCAGATGTTCTTTTTCGGCATTTTGCGGCAAGACCGTTGAAGATTTTCTAGAAAAAAGGATTATTGTACCGAACTACCTACCTTAAAATTTTTCTAATGGAAACTTTTAAGTAAATGAACCGTTTATTTCACAACCATCAGTCTATCGCATCTGTCGTAGTACAGTGTTACACGTGGTTCTCCCTTGTTACATGTTGAGTTCTTTTTGGTAATATTACTAATATTTTAAAAGAATGCCGAAAGTAAAATCGACGCCGGATGAGTGGATAAAGGATTTTCCAGAATTAAAATTAGAAAACAACAAAATATTCTGCAGAGCTTGTGTGAAAACCGTAAGCCCACTAATTTTTTTTTATATATTTTCGTTTGTTAATCCTGTATATGTACGTTGTTTTAGATTCAAAATGATAAAAACTATAACGTGACGCAACATGTCAGAACGACTCTTCATGTAGAAAGGAAGAAAATGTTTGAAGTTTCTAAAATTAAACAGCAGATCATACATGAATCTGTTGCATCTACTTCCACAAAAGATGAGCAGTTTCAGTTTAATTTCGATTTATGTAAAATGATGATCCAGTCCAATATACCTTTAAAAAAATTGGAGAAAGGCCCTCTTCAAGAATTCCTTGAAAAACACTGCAATCGACATATTCCGGTTGAAAGTACTCTCCGAAAAAATTATGTAGGCCCAGTGTTTCAGCAAGTTTACAACGAAATTAAACATCGCATTGGAGATAATTATTTATGGTTCGCTGTCGATGAAACAACCGATAGTTGTGGAAGATACGTGGCAAGTTTAATTGTTGGAATCTTAAATGAAAATTTCCCTAGTCGAGGGTATGTAGTAAGTTTGAAAATGTTTGATAAAACAAATGGCAATACGATTACCAGATTTGTAAATGACAGTCTTACGTCACTATTTTTGCCGAATAAAATTTTATTGATGATCTCGGATGCAGCTCGTTATATGTTGAAAGCAGGGAATAATCTAAAAATATTGTACCCCAATTTAATTCACTCTACTTGCATTGCCCACGGTTTAAACAGAGTGGCTGAAGGAATACGTTTGCAGTTTACTACTGTTAATAAATTAGTGGCAAATGGTAAAAAGATTTTTATTAAAGCCCCACTAAGAGTGCAACATTTTGAGGAAAAATTTCCAAACATGCCATTGCCCCCAGAGCCGATTATAACGAGGTGGGGAACATGGATACAGGCCACAGTTTATTATGACAAATATATCAAAGAATTTGAGGAAGTAGTTACGGAGTTTAGCGAAGATTCTTCTCAATCGATTAAAGATTGCATAAATATTTTGGAAAACAAAGATTTGCGACAAGATCTAGCTTTTCTAAGAAGCAATTATCAATTCGTATGTGAGGTAATAGAAAAGTTAGAAAAACCCAACATGTTGTTGGTAGATGCCATAAACTTAGTGAAAGAATTTAAACAACAAGCAAACGCAGTAAGGGGTGATATTGGTACTAGAGTATCTCAAAAACTTGACGAAGTGTTAAATAAAAATGCAGGTTTCGGTATTCTTTCCGACATTGCTCGTGTTTTACAAGGCCAGAAGGTGGAAAATTTGGAGTTAGATTCAACATTAGTTGCAAAATTCAAATTTGCGCCAACGAGTGTGGATGTTGAACGCACATTTTCCAATTTTAAACACATTTTAAATGATCGGCGAAAAAATTTTACAGTGGACAACTTGGAACATATTACAATCATAAATTGATTAAAAAAAACTGAAATACGTGTGTAAAATGTAAAGTCTAGGATTATTGTAATAATATTTTATCCAAAGTTCTAAGAAGTGTTCTTTGATTTGTAATATGATTATGTTTTTAATGCTTTTTTGCTTAAAATAATTTTTTTTTATTGAAAATGTGCTTATTCTTATTTTTTTTTGTGCTTATAAATCCGCTCTCTAATGATTAGCATTAACCTTAGTTTTAAATAGTCGGCACGTTATGAATAAATCGGCCATTACTTTTATACTCGTAGATATTCCCAGTACTGTACTGAGTCACAAATTTCTGTTAATCGCCAATTTAGCAGCATATCACAACAAGTTAACTACTTATTCCTTTTACAAGATAAAGTCGTAGAATTACCCCAAGTTAAACAAAACAAAAAATTACCAAATTTTACGTACAGATAGCATGTCAAATTTTGACATTTTGCTTAATTGTAAAAACAGAAAGTTTTTTTTTATTAACATTCAATATGAATCAGAAACATTTTAAAAAATTGTCTAAAGAATAGTCTTATTATATTCGATAATGCCAGTTATCATAGTAGACTTCAGGTGTTTATTGGAAGAAATTCCTCGAACGACTTGGACTAAGACAAAAATTATTATACGATTGAATAAGAAAAAAAAAAAGTTATGCAGACCATGCTACGAAAGTGAAATGTGGAAAATTGTGACCAGAAAAATTTAAACTTAATTTAATTCGATTCGTCGGAATGTAAAAGAACTTTGAAAACATAATTTCAAAAACTACGTCTTTCCCTAATGAAGTATGAAAATGTAATAATTCGAGTTCCTGTTATACACTGTGAAAATTACGTCAAACATGTGAAAAGGATTATACATTCAGCATGGCAACAACAAAATATTCTAGACAATATGAAAAAAAAAAATTAGTATCGATTCTTCCGATAATAGTGATAATAGTAACAGCACCGACAATAGTAGAGTTTAATTAAAATAACGACTTACTCGCTTGAACAACTGCGTCTTGGTATCATTTGGTATTGATGTCGGAGGTTGCTGAATGCCCGAATTAGCATTATTATTAAGAACTGCCGGCTTCTGTGATGAGTTATTGTTGATTTTAGGCCCATTCGCCTCTTGTTTCTTGTCAATAATCTTTCCTATACTGTCCAAATCCGTATCTATTTTCTTTGTTAAAATGTCATTAGTACTAGGTAACACTGATTCGGTTTCGTCAAAATCGTCGTCTTCATTAAACCACATCTCCTCTTCTTCCTCCATTTGCCGCTGATCCCTCCGATATCTGCTATTCCTCAGAATCGAGGGCACACTAAGCACAGCCAACAATTAAAACACAACTCTTCGGCGCTTCCGCGAAATAAACAAACTTACCCATCCAAGTTATTTCTTTCTCTATCCTTGAGTTTGTCTTGGTGCTGGTCGTACCTAAGTTTCAGCGCTTTGAAAGTTTGTACGTAACAAATGTTATCTAGCGATTTTCCGTAATTCTCCACGACATGCGAACACAAGGTTTTGATGTCTTCGAGCTTGATGAACTCGAACATTTCGATGATGGCCGAATCCAAGAGGTTGTATCTGCCTTTGTTGCGGACGAAAGCGTCTACCACAGGTGCGAAGAGATTACCCTTGATGATGTACCTATTATAAAATTCATCTTTCAAAGCAATCAACTTCCGCATAAACCTGAGAGCACACAAAACTAAGAATTTGTGCGTCGATTTCATTAGTACTAATATTCGTCGCAACAAATCTTTGTTTAAAATGCAGTTTTTTATGTGGTACGTGTGATGCTCCACACAGAAGGACAACAATTCTAAAATCAAACCCAAAAGTTGTACACTTCGGTAGTCCTCTCTCTGAGGTTCATCGTGCGCTGTGTTTTCCAAAAGTGGCGCTGGAACAGAAGCACGTTAGTTCGGACGGTGACGAAATCGGGTCGAATTTACCTATTAAAATTTGGACGCTATGCTTATAGAAAAAGTTAAGAAAATCAGTTTTTTCTGATTTGTTCACTGAGGCAAGCATATTTTCCGGATCCAAGAGAATTCTTAACACGCCCATCAGTTGCACCGCTCCACCCAATTCTGGATCGCTGTCACAGATCATCTGTTCTATGATTATGTTAAGCAGCATTTGGTCCTAAAATAATAACAGTATTAATAAATTAAAATTGACCTAAAAATACAGTATAGTAGCACTAAGATCCGAAGCAGAATCACAAGAGTGTATCAGCAAAATATGGAACAAATGTAATAAAAAATAAACAGCAATTTACTATCTCACACTATCAATATTATGACATGATATATATTTTTTTAAATTACATATTTTTACTTATTATATATTTTTAATATGTATTATATAAAAGTGGGTGTAGTACTATTACGTAAATTTTTGATTAAATATTTAATGAAGGTCATTGTTACTGCTCTCCTTTATAAATAAGTATATTTCAACAGGTGATTTTGTTTACTATTTAAAAATTCAACAACTGATAACTTTGAAATCTTAGATGTACTTTAAGATTATTAGATTTCTGATTAGATAATGAATAGTAGTCAAAAATTGTTGGTTACCCATTACTACGATTTTAAAACAATTTTGTTAAGAAATCTCATTAAAAATGCAAGTTGTAGTTTAACTTCTCTATTTTCGTCTAAACTTATAGGTGTTGTCCTAAAATTGGAGCTGCAGAATCAAATTTTACAATTTATCTAAGAAAATACACAACAGATTGCTACAAATTTAACACATTAAATTAACATTGTCAAAATTATATTTATTTTCTCCGAAAACTGATCGCGTCATTGTGAAATTATAAAATATTTTTTTAATTTTTTTAGTTTCATGGAAGTTAACAGCTGATGACGTAGTAGCTGCTAAGATACGATCGATTTTGGCAAATAACATACCCTCTAAGAAAAGAGAGGGTGGGTGGGCGGGGTTAGTATCTGCTAAGATAAGACTGATTTTAGCAAATGACGTATCCTCTAAGAAATTTAATTAAATTATTATAAGAAAATACACAAGAGTCGCCCAAAATTCTTTTAAATAATTTACAAAAAAAATCTTCATCCCAAAATAATACACCACGGGTACCCAAACACTGGTACTCACAATTTTTTCAAATTCGTAAAAAATAAAACACAAAGCTTTTTTAAACGTACGGTTTTGAAAAAACTTTGACAATTTTTGATACGTCAAACATTTTTAACTGCTTACAAAATTTTTGTTGATTTGTACCTTTGCTTCATATCAGGCAAGCATTGTTAGAATTTTTTCAAATTATTTCAAAAACAATAAAACCATATCTTTGTACATTCTAACTGAAATGGTAATTAAACATGGTCTAAAAATTTTATTACTAGTTAGTGAGATAATGAATGTGTTGGTTAGTTGTTAAACGTAGCAAAAGATCAATTTTAAAATCATAACTTCACTAAGATGTGAGAAGGGATTTTTTTACTATTTTTCCCAAACTCACCAGTTGATTGTTAACAGGCTAAGATAAGACTGATTTTGGCAAATGACATTCCGTCAGAAAAGAGAGGGTAGGTGGGCGGGACTGGTAGCTGCCAAGATAAGACTGATTTTAGCAAATGACAAACCCTTTAAGAAAAGAAAGGGTGGGTGGGCGGGGCTTATAGCTGCTAAGATGTTTTGAATTTTTAAAAATTTATGTTTGAAGTAAACTTGTTCTTTTTGTTCAAAATTTAAGAATGCAAAAACGAAAGCTAAAATTTGACCAAGAATTGAAAACTGGAAAAACTTCAAATCAAAAAATTGAAGATATGAAAATTAAACATTCAAATAAAGGAAAATTAAAATATTTATCTATAAATTGAAAAATCGAAGAAAACGAAAAATTGAAAAACCGGAAACCTAAAAAATCAAAACATCGAAGAAATGAAAAATTGAAAACTAGAAAAATTGTAGAGTCGAAAAACTGTAAAACTGAATACAGTATAACCTCTATAATCCGAACCAACGATTATCCGAACATCCAGTAATCGGAACAGAGGCTAGTTGAAGTCGATATCTCTTTAATCCGAACAAAAACTCTGCAATCCGAACTGAACTTGAAAACATGCACCTACTTTTTTGAAATTTTTAAACATTGTGATATTTCAATGCACTCAATTAATTATCTAATTCTGGAAAAAAGGTTAAAGTTATCGAAAAAATGAAGCCGGAAGTAACTTCTGCGCCCCGAAATCTACAAGAATTATTTTTTAAATTTCGAAAATCGTCGAAAGTGGGTCGAAATTTGCTAGTAGTTGCCAAATAACCTACCCTCTAAGAAAATAAAAGGCGGGTGGGCCAGGCTAGTATTTGCCAAAATAAGACCCATTTTGGCAAATGACCTACTCTTCTAAGAAAAGGTACTAGCCCCGCCCACCCACCCTTTATTTTCATTGAAGAGAGGGTCATCTGCCAAAATTAGTCCTATTTTAACAAGTACTAGCCCCGCCCACCCACCCTTGTTTTCTTAGAGGATGTCATTTACAAAAATCAGTGAGTACTACTAGATTTTTTAGTTTTTCGATTTTTCAACTTTAGAATTTTTCAATTTCTCGCTTTATAAATTTTCAATTCTTTGATCTGTCTTTCGATTTTTTGATTTCTCTTGGCAACTGAAAAAACTTTCGATTTTTTAATTTTACAATTTTGGCAGTTTTCCGATTTCTCAGTTATTTTGATTTTTAAAATTATCGAGAAAATATATATGTATATGTTACTTTTTTTAAATTTTCGATTTTTGATTTATTGTCACCGAGATTTTGGAATTGAGTAAAAAGTAATTTTGAACCGCGATTTGCCATGTTTACCGTAACTTTAAAACATCTGAAAATTTTGTTTCGAATTTTCAATTTTTGGATTTTTTCAAAATTTCGGTTCGAATAAAATTGTTCTTTTTTGTTAAAAAATCGAAAAATGACAAATCGTGAAAAGGAAAAATTTAATTAAAATCGAAAGTCAAAAAATTAAAAAATTGTAGAGTTAAAACTTGAAAAATCAAAAGATTGGAATTAAAAACTGCAAAATTGTCAAACAAATTATCAAATGAAATATTCAAAAGTTGAAAAATCTAAAAACTAAAAAAAAAAAAATGAAAACTGGAATTTCGAAGTCGATTTTATAAGATTTGTTTTTTTTTCCAATTTTTCGATATTTCAGTTTTTGATTTTCCGATTTCTCATTTATCCGATTTTTCAAAATGTCATTTTTTGATTTTTAATTTTTTTTATTTTTAGCAAGTGGTAACCCCACCCACCCATTCAGCCTTTATTTTCTTAGAAGTATAAGTCATCTGCCAAAATCAGTCTTATCTTGGCAAGTACTAGCCCCGCCCACCCACCCTTATTTTCTAAGAGGATATGTCATTTGCAAAAATCATTCTCATACTTGTCAAGATAAGATTGATTTTGCCAGATGACCTACTCTTCTAAGAAAATAAAGGGTGAGTGGGCGGGGCTAGTACCTCAAATAACCTACTCTCAGAAGAGTAGGTTATTTGTCGCCTTTTATTTTCTTATAGGGTAGGTTATTTGGCAATTACTACCATGGTGTAAAATTTCATTTTTGAAAAAGTTGTCTAAAAATTCTAAAAAAATTCAGAGATGTATATACCGGGTGTCTTTTTTATTTGATACAACCGCTGTAAATTTTTTATTCTTAAAGATAAGCCTGTAGTTGTTTGAGCAAATTTGTACCATTTTAAAAGATCTATCTGACAGCAACAATTTTTCAATTGTTTTTCAAGCAACTAGATTTTGAATTAAATGAAAAATGTTTGAGATATTTTACTAAATAGCATGTTTGTTGTTGATTTTAGAATATTGGTTGCTTTTGATTTTGTGTAGTAAAAAAATCAATCTTTCCATTTATGAAAAAATATACCTAGGGTTCCGTTAAAAAAAATTAAGTTGATGTCATTTCCGACTCTACCGGAAGTGATAATAAAAATGTGTGGTTATCATCACACAGATCGTTTAAAATGATACAAATTTGCTCAAAAAAGTACAGGCTTATCTTTAAGAATAAAAAAGTTACAGGGGTTGTATCAAATAAAAGAGACACCCTGTATATTCCGACGTGTTGATTCCAAAAATATAGCATGATTATGGTCACGGAGTAATATTTTTTTCGAATGTATCTGTTATCCATTGTTTGTTAAGAATACTTATTTCCCGTAATAAGATTAAAATTTATTTTTTGAAATTTGTTTTCAGCACTGTATTCGCTGATCCAAACAAATCGCTATTCCGAACACACCTTTCACCAATTAGTTCGGATTATCAAGGTTGTACTGTAATTCTAAATCGAAAAATTTCAAAATCTAAGTAACTATAAAAGCGAAAAATTGAAAAATTCAAGAGTTGATACATAGAAACTTTGAAAAACTTAAAACAAATTCGAAAAATTGTAACATCTAATAAAAATCGGAAAATCGAGAAATTGCAAAATCGGAAAACTAAAAGTTTGTAAAAACTCAAGAATGGGTGCTATTAAAAAAATGCTCAGTCAATACAATATAAATAAAGGCGATGAAGCAATTAAAAATTAATTAGTTAAGAAAAAATTAAATATAAAAATTGAAAAATCCAACAATCGTGAAAATTTCAGTAGTAATAAATATGCTATTTTTGAATTATTTCAAAAAAAAAAAAAAAATTAGAATCCGGGAAACTGGAATATTAAAAAATTGAGAAGTTGAAACACTAAAGCACCAAAACACCAAAGCTAAATTAAAATCTCGATTGCTTGAAAGAAGAAAAAAATTAAGATATCTACAAATCGAAAAATTGAGGAAGTACAAAATTGAAATATCGAAAAATTGCAAATCGAAAATCTGGGAGATCGAAAAATTACAAAATCAAAAAACAAAAAATTCCAAAAATTGTAAGATTCAAAAAATAAAAATTGAAAACTAGAAAACCTCAAATCGGAACACTATAAAATCTAAAAATTGAAGAAACAAAAATTCGCAACCGGAAAACATGAAAATCGGAATCTAAAAATGGGGAAACTGGAAAATAAACGATCTAGAAATTGACAAATCCGGCTAAATGTAAAATCGAAAAATTGTAAATTAAAAAATTCAAATGTTGATACATAAATAAAAATTTTGAAAAACT